CCCCTGCCCAGGCCCAGGGATCGAGCCTCAACCGAGGTATATGCCCTTGACCAGAATTGAACCCGGGACCCTTCATTCCAAGGGCCAACACTCTATCCACTGAGCAACACTTACCGGGCCACTTTTCCTTCTTAATGTCAGGGAGAGGAAGACAGAGCACACCAGCCCTGCCCAGCACTGGGCCCTGCCCTCGGGCCACAGGCAGTGGGAGGCCAGTGACTTCTGACTCTGGGGCTCCCAGTTCACAGTGACTCACCGAGAGCCCACCCTGGGGACATCCTGGGCCCTCCTGCCCCGGCCTGCACCTGGCTGGCTGCTCTGAGCACCCTATCCCAGGAGCCCTGCCCTCCTGCACCCACTAGCACCCCCCATGCCAGGACCCACCGGAGCCGAGCACACCGGTCCACCTCTGCCACACACCTGCTCCCACCCACACGCGTGGCTGCACCCCCTGAAACCACCAGGACACCCAGCCCCTCCCACCCTGAGGCCCTGGCCCCTCTGCTCCTGCCTGGCTCGCCGCCCCCTCCCCCAGCACCTCGCCCCGAGCACCGGGCACCCTGGGCACGAACAGAACTGAAACGGCTGGGAAGGAGGCCGCGGCTCATCTCGGTCTGATCGTGCAGAGCCGTCCGTGTCAGGGACCGCCCTGGGGCAGATGTAAAGGAACCAGCTGTCTGGGGGGCTCCTTCCCAAAGAAGTGCCACCCCCTCCCTGGAGGGGGCTCCTCACAGCACTGACCCCCCGCCCCCCTGCAGGCGGCTCCCTGTCCTCTCAGGCCCACCTGGCCGTCCTGCAGCGCCACCTGCTGGCCGGGGCCGGGACGGAGGGCTCCCCTGACTTGCAGAGCCTGAAGGTGCTGGGCGTGGCTGTGCACCATGTGCGGGGCCTCCGTATAAAAACATTTCTTTTTCAGACTGAAACCCAGGCCGGGCGGGGCCTTGGATGCACCCCAGGCTGCTGAGCTCTGGACCCGCACGCGTGCGGCCTCCACGCAGCCACTTGGCAGTGAGTAACCTGGGAGCCCCCTGTGGGGCTGGAGGGAGTGTTCCGGAAAGGGCTTTGAGCTCTGGGGCCTGGCTGCAGGGGCATGGGAGACGCGTGACAGCTGTCTCTGAGCATGTAGGTGTGTGCACGTGCCCACTGGCTGAGGCCGTGTGCGTCGGTGCCCATCTGCCCCCACCTCTGGCACCTGCCCTGACCCTGGGTCCCTGTCCAAACCTGGCCCTGCTGACCCACGGCCTCCTGCCCCAGGGGCATCCCCCCAGCCGCAGGCTCAGCTCCACCTAGGCCCGGGCAGGGGAAGGGGCCACGGCGGCCACCACCCTCTACCTGCTGGGCAGCCTTTTCCCAGGCCCCCCAAGGCGGCCCCTCACAGGCAAGGCCCACTCGCTGACCTTGAGTGGGGCAGCAAGGACAGTCCTGCCCGGGCAGCCCCTCACAGCCAGGACACAGGCTGGGGGGGCGGGTGCTGCC